GTTGCACTTTGAGAAGGCAGAGATTTCTTCCATAATACAAATAGGCCAGCCTTTTTTTTCTGCCTCTCTTTCTGGCTGTGTATATGGACTAGGTTTGGATTTTGGCTAGGCATCTGTGAGCCCTCTTATGATTTTTTTTTTTTTTTTCCTTGAGAGCTTGACAGCTTTAATGTTCAGGCCTTCATGTTTCACAGCAGGGTTTAAAAAAAAAAAACTCTAGAAAGATTTTGCCTATATCAGAGAGACAGAGTATTGGACAGATTTACAGCAGGGACCAAAGACTTTTGATGGAAAATAAATGTAGTATAGAGTTGAAAGAACAAACATGATTTTTGCAGGAAGAAAGATCATACACAGATTTCCCAAGATATCAAAGAACAATGTAATAATGCACTTTTAAAAGACCCATTTCAGAGCAAGTTTAAGCAATGTACATGCTGCTCAGTGCTTACTAGTTATGTTGCTGCAGGTGGGTGTAAATATTGCCTCAAGAGCTTAAGATCATTACATCTGTCTTCTTATGAGCTGTGTAAGAATATACATTATCTTCCAGGTCAACAAAAGGATGTGTTCCAGAAGCTAATTTATTATAACCCTGGTACTTCAACTTCACTCGACCACTAGGGAAAAACTTCATAAGCTTTTCAGGCTTCACTTACTGCTTTGTCTCTAGGCAGAGTTGTCTGCCTCCAGTTCAGCAAGAAGTATAGGGGCTTGCTTGTCTTTTTTAGCAGACCCTTCTGTGGCTCCAAGGGATTTGGAACACAAATATACAGACATACTTCAGTTTTTGTTGCTCAGTAAACATTTGGTTGCTCTGGCATAAGAAGATATACTTACACAAAAATGCATATATATTCCTCTGTGTCTAGTTCATATGGATTTCTGAAGCAGGTTATCACAGTAACAAGGATTAACACATACTAACAAAAATCACTTCTACTTTTTCTATATTGTTTATGTCGCACTCAACTTTTCCTTAAAAATACAGCCCAAAAATTTATGATCAAAATAGCTTCCATCTCACTAGCACGATAGCTACAAATGAAAAATGTTTAAAAGATCCTTGATCTCTGAGAAAACAGAGGAACTGAGAAGAGTAACAGCTCAGTGTTTCAAATTAATTTATTACTAATGGATTTCAGGTTCCTATATTTTACAATCTTAGCAAGATTGAAAAGGCTGGAGACCAGTCTTGAACTTTGCATATTAAACAATCTACTGTCTTTCTATATGGTGACACAAGGGAATGTCATCTGTCCTCGCAAGTAAAGGTTTGGATTGATAACCATCCACCTCTGTTTAAGGTTTTATAAAAAGCCAAGCTTAAAGAAAAATATTTAAGTTAATGAGCAGTCTGGCTTGGTAGTATGGCCCGATTCAGTTTTCTCTGAGCTCTGTGGCAAAACCTGTATCTTAAATGGTATGGGAGCAGGGTCTTCCTTCCAGGGCTGAAGATCATCCAGGGTCCGTTGCGAAGAACTGACTGAGTTTGCCTCTTATTAATTAGTGATTATTATTCTTCGCTCTTGAGCATCAGGTTTCTGTTCTGTTGCAAGGTCAAAGCACCTCAGTGTATTGAACTATAAGCTAGATAAATCCAGTTGTAGCATAGCCTTGTCTTTGTAGTATCCATTAGCTTTCTCCCCTGTGTTTTTACAAATTGCACAGACACCGTGCACATATCCCAAGGATGCTTCATGTAGCGTGTGCATGGCTGTGCTGTTACCACCAATAATGAAATAATTGGAATTTCCCACATGAGTAAACACTGGCGGATAGGAACCTGCATTTCGTTAGACTATTTCTTTTGGCAGACTCTTTAAAAAATCTGTTAGCAAGCCAAATTGACACTAGTCATTATCAGATTATACGCTAGGATACTGTGCAGGGGAAGCTAAAGGAGAATCCTTTTTTCCATCTTACAGAATTGGAGGTGAGTCTTATGAGAATGCTGTTTCGTAAGTTCAAAACTGGAACAGGTACAGAGGAGGTACTACCGTAATGATCAGGGGTATGGAGAAACAGTATTGCAAGAGGAGAGTGTAAGAGTTGGACATGTTTGCCTATGGAAACAAAGGCCTGTATTTTTCCTCTTTAAAAGTACTTAGGAAGATAAACACTGAGGAAGAGAGACGTTTAAGCTAAATGACAGTGCTGACCTCAAAATAACTGGATATATATTAAGTTAGGTTGTAAGTAACCGAAATAAAATTAGGTTGTAAATCAGAGGTGTTTAGAGCCAACTTTGGAAGGATGTCTTTGATCAACAGGCCAAGAGGAATCGGGAGGTGACAGAAAATGTAACTGGGTTTTAAGTGGAGCTTGATATGTTTTCAAGAGGGGTTAAAGAACAAGGGTTGTCTGTAGTGGAGAGCAAATGGTCTGAAGGACTGGTGAAATCCTTTCTAGCTGTGTATTTTCCCCCAATTTCAGCTTATCGCTATCCCTGAGTCTGTAGAATCTGAAATATCTCCTGTGATGCATCTTGACCATACTTATACGTGCTCTAAAGACCTTTCCTTTTCTGTAACAAATTACAGATAGGAAACATTACACTTAAAATCTAGGTTTCCATTTTATTGCTTCTTTGGAATTATTGTGCATGTTTTAATATCCATATAGTTGGACTTTCCTAAAACAATCTTTTCATCCCCCAAAATATTTTATTTCCATTCTCACTTGAGTTTTTAAATCTTTTTTCTATTTTATAAAAAGCTAGACCTTCATTTTCAATTTTTAGTTCAAATAAAATAATTATCCTGTTGTTACTTTTTTGACAGCAAGAAGAATACATTTCAGATGAAACACATATTTTATTCTATTTTAACTGTTTGTGTTTCCCTAATTGCAAGAAAAATTCAATGATGATCTTTTTACGGACTGATAAATATTTTAGTACAGATTTTCTGTTGGAAAAAAACATCCAAGTGAAAGGTACACGATTGGCAGGCTTGTGTCTTGTCTACACAAAGCTTTTATTTCCCTTAAAAAGTCTCGCTGTTGCTAGCATCAGTGTCTCTCCATCCAAATGCATTTGTTAAGCAGTCAGTAAATGATTAAGGAGCTGGAGGGACTGATTTATGGAGCAAAATTAATTGAACTAAATATGCATCTCTCCATTAAGTGACAACTGGGAAGTGTGGGAGAACATGATATAGCTGTCTACAACTACCGGAGGGGTGTAAACAGCAAGGACAGAAAAGGATGCACAGCTAGGTACAGCTGTGTTTTTTGTGACCCAAATTGCATGTGCCTCCTTGAGTAAGTGCTAAGGGATAAAAACCCTGTGCGTGTCCCCCAGAAAAATCTGCACGAGGGATTGCTTAGGGTAGTGCAAAAGCTACTAAATACTCTAAAGCTACTCAATACTGTAGTATTTTATAAATACTACAAAACCTAATAGAGTGAAATTTAAAATTAGGAAAGACTTAGGTGGGAATATCAAGGAGAATGGGAAACGTCTTCATGCAAGATATATTAGTCTGAGGAATCATCTTCCAAGGAAAATTGCAGACAAGAGCCACTTCCTGGAAATCCTTAATATTAAATTGATCTTAAGACTCAGCTAGACCGTATAGTGAAAAGACAGTGCTTCAATAAGGACTCCTGAAATAGGCCCTTTTACTTGCAATTTCTGTGATTCTGTGAAGAGACCTACATGAAGGTAATTTTGCAAAATACATCTTAGTCAGCTCATCTCAGCCCTTCTGTTAACAGCCGGACTGTGCTCTTGGTACTTCAGTGGAGCCCAGCCTGCTCACAGGTGGAGGCTTGAATTTAGCAACTTGATCCTAATCATTAGTGTTCCCCATTTGTTTTGAGTCCCATCTCACAGTACTTGTTCGTAGTTTAAACAGTAAAGGAGAGGAAAGATGCTGATGCTTTGAATACCCATAGAGCCATCTGGCTGAGAGTTGTACATTTCACCATGATCTGACTGAATTTGTGGCACTGTTGCTTACTTTTTCTGCTTGTGCCGTTTGCTCGCTTGTCTTGGCTCAACTGTAGTTGTTGCTGATAGTATAATTGTGAGCATCAGACTGAGAGTTAGTTATGCAGAGGATTTCCCAGCAAATCACGTCTCCTCTGATGCTGGCAAAACAGCCTAGTGTATGCAGGGTATAATTAGCCCTGTGCAGTGTGCACTACCTAGGGTTTGGGTGGTAAATAAGCCCGCACGGTGATTCCACTGAAAGGCAGAATTTCACTTTAGTTGTAGACACGTTCTGGTCCATCATGGTAAGTATTCTGCTTGATATCTATCATACCAGTTTACAAAGAGCCATGTGGCATACTTTTCTCCCAAATTCAATAGTCAGATGAAGGACAGGATTTTACCCACTCTTAGCTCCTTTGTCTACTAGCTCCAACCCTAGTTTGCAAGTTTGAGCTTCATCCAAAGTATTTCTAAGTGGAACAAAAATAAACATGCTTTTAAATATTTTATGTTCATACTTTAAGGGAGATTGACACATTTTGAAGAGGAAAGCAGCCTACAACACCTAAATTAAAAATAAATATTTATGCTCACATTTGTTCATCAGCTTTCCAAAATGTAAAAATATGTTTCATGTTGTTTTAAATAATGAAATGTGAAACAAATGAAAGATAAACTTTCTACAAGCTGCAAAGGAATAATAAGACAAAGGCTTTGTTTATAGCTTAGACTTCAACAGTGCCCTTTGACAACCAATGCAAATCTTAATTACAAATGGAATTATACATATAAGAACTGTTCAAAACAAAGGAGTATTTTTTTCCTCCCTCTGGTTTTCTTTGTGATAGTTTTAATTAGCTGCAACTCTTTGAACAGTCATAGTCCTTGGCTGCTACTCAGACACTGATGGAAGTTGTTAACTTCAAATGGCATCTATAGGACTGCAGAAGTCTGGGTTTTCCTCTGAACAGCCTGCTCCCCAGTGCTAAATTTATTCCTGGATATATCAGGATTCTGCATACACACCACTTAATTGAGAAGTAAGCATTGTCCGATAACATTCCAGTGATTGACATTAGGACACAATAAATTGAATTAATAGGCCACAGCACCCTACCCACACTGGCAGAACTTTAATGGACTTCTGTAATAAAGTAAGCAGCAACAGGGCAGATGCATTTTGAAAAATAACCCAGTCAAGTAACTGGAAAAACAGTCATTAGAAATAATGGCCAGCCATACATAGTATTTTCTTCATGAAAATCAGGAACCTTGTCTTCAAATCAAATGGGGAGTGGGAAGAAGGAGGCAATTGCCAGTGTGGAAACTGCCAAACTTCTGGTGATGATGATTCACATGTGGCGGTTGGGAAACGTGTCTTGCCATCTTGAGCTGCGCAACATTTTTTAATTCCTTGTGGCAAACTGCTTAAAAGAAAGTGCCTGCCAGAAATAGAACAGGAGAGCTCTATCTTCCATCCCAGTTAAACTGCCTAATTTGCAAGCGTATGCCCTGGTCCGGCTTGCAGGTGCTGCTGAGCCAGTGAAATCGCCCCTTAACTTCAAGGGTATCAGGATTTCACGTGCCATGATTTGGAGAAGATTTTGAACTTTTTTCCATTGTAAAGAGAGGAGGGGGCCCCGCTCCAGTGCGACCTGTTAAAGGGGTGCGGACACATGTGGCAGAGCACTCTTGCTGCAGTCGGTGAGAGCAGGGGTTCCGATTTAGATTTACGCTAAATGTTGCCATTACAATATAGTATCTGGGGGAAGAGAAAGTTTCTTTCTGGGATCTATAGCTCGCTTGGCAACACAGGAGCCTTCATTCGTCAGGGCGATAGGTGTGACTGTGGGCTTGCGCATACTGTTGTTGGGTTTGGTGCATCATCTGTTTAGGGAAGAAGGGCACCTGTTGACTTCACAGGTTCAGGATTTAAAGTTGTATATATTTTAAGAAGTATGTTTGTGGGATAGGCTATGGTTGATGCCTTCCACTACTGTGGGAAGTGCGCATGTTAGTGCAAAATGGTGGAGAAATGCCTCCAAGAAATTGAATGTTGTGCAGAACTTCCCTAATGTAGGCTAATATCTTTTTAAAAATCCAACTCGAAGAAGGAACACTGAAAAAGTAGCTATGAGCAGCTTTTGATAGAAAAACACAAGTGATGTAAAAATGTTTCTCCATTTTACTTCTCTAAGTGTTTGTTAAGCATAAACTGTGCCATGGAAATGAAGTGAAATGACTTAGAATATAAAGCTAAACACTTAAATGTGCCTAATCTTTCAAATCAGAGATACTGCTGCATCAATCTCTCATTTAGTTGTTGGAATTCAGACAGCCCGTGGTGAGCCTTAGAAGAATGCCATTCTGATCTCTGGTGGAATGGAGTGATACAGCTGATACAAATGTATTCATAGAGGAAAGGGCAGTTACCTCTAGCATTGCCTTTCAAACTTCCTTTTCAAAAGACAGTGCAGTATGCAACAGCAGTTTAATCGTGGGTGCCCTGTAGGAATAGGTGCTCTTTTTTTTCCCTCTGATATTCTCTCCTTTGTCACGTTTCTACCTCAGTTCTAAAGAAAAATTCACGTTATTGACCTGGATTTGCCAATTGTAGCTGTTTATTAACTGTCAGTTATATTGCAGTGGCATTCAGCAACCCCATGACTTAACATCCCTGGCTGTGTAGGAAACTGAAGGGAAATTTTCTTTTCAAATTTAATTTGTATGCACTTGGTTCCTCAAGGTCTTCGCAAGCAAAACACTCAGAAAAGCCCACAAACAGCACTTGGGATAAATTGGCTAAATGTGCATACGTCCATTAGAAAGACAAGCTTTTGAGTTTACTCCTGAATAGATTAAAACTAGCTGTTGAAATAGTAATACTTACTCTTTTTGTTACTCTTACTAATATCTCTCAATCTGTTTTTTTGGGGGAAAGGTAAAAAATTATTCTGTTTATAAAGAGGAAACATATCTGTACCTATGAAAATACGTATTGGACGTGATCCTCAGCTCATAGAAAGTGGTACAGCTCTGTAAATGGATATCAACTGATTTATACTAGCTAGGGTTTTGATTCTTATTCCTAAAACCTGTTGAAGTGAAATCTCCCCTTAACTTTAAGGGTAACAGGATTTCCTGTGTCATATTTTGCAGGAGATTTTGAAATTTTTGCCATTGTAAATTTCTTCCTTTTTCTTCCTCTGAAAGCAAAGAACCGTGGGATTGCAATTCCAGTCGATTTGGACAGTCAGGTTAACACCTTGTTCATGAAGAGTCACTCTAACATGGTGCAGAGAGCAGCCATGGGGTGGAGGATGTCAGCCCGCAGTGGACCTCGTTTTAAAGAAGCTCTTGGTGGACCTGCCTGGGATTACAGGAATATCATAGAAAAACTGCAGGTACAAAACAGCAAATGGCCTGGGCGCTAGCTGTAGTATTGCATTTATTTAATATGTAGCAGAGGTGGAAAACACCAGATATACTACACTGACTGTACTTTTAGCTCTGGATCACAGTGAACTTTGCGCTTTTAAGCAGGAGGGAGCAGAAGGCCCAGATCTCCTCTGGCGTCTGCTCAAAGAGAAACCAACACACAGAGCCTTCTGCTCCGTGATCTAAATTCAGCCCCCACAGAAGTTGGTAGAGAAGGGAAGGAAAGAAGTTCTTTTCCCCAAAGTGTTCTGCAGAGAAGAGTCTCTTTTCCTTTCTCTCATTGTCACGTGACTGTGTCAGGTGCAGAGGAGATCGTGGAGGTTACAGGAACTATTACGTCATCTTGTGTCGCTGGAGATTATGTATAGGATGGGAGATCACCGGCTAAATGACATGAGCAGTTTATGAACTAAGACAACAGCAAGACTCAGACTAGTAGTAGGAGCCCTAAATACCAAGGAAGCAACATGTCAGATGATAGTCTTAATGCCACAGCATAAGAAGCAGTGTTTTTTTCAGCACACGATTATCCTGACTGTTGCTGAGTGTTCGCAGGCATTACGGCAGAAGAGAGATTTGAAAGAAAAGGGCCGGGTAGATACTAACGGTCAGCTTCCCCCATTTGCCCTGGTAGAGGAGTGGCATGAAGGAAGGAATAAGGTTGCTTCACTGTGAACTGGGTAACAAGGGCTCTTGCTTCTGGCTGATGAGAAGTGGGTCAAATCGCTCATCACACAGCATTATGCAACTCTGCAGCAACAGTCTTCAAATCTTCTTGGCTTATAATTGTCATTCCGCTTTATTCCCCAGGATGTAGTGTCCTCCTTGGAGCAGCAGTTCACTCCCATGATGCAGGCTGAATTCTCAGTGCTGGTTGATGTGCTGCACAGTCCAGAGCTTCTTTTTCCTGAGGGAAGCGATGCCAGAATAAGATGTGGTGCTTTCATGTCCAAGTAAGTGGTGTAAGGAGAGGCCTATTTGCTGCTTTGGAAAAGATGACAGGGAGTAAAAATTTTCAGCGGCACTTACCTCTGATTTTCAACAGTGATTTAAGCATGTAAAAGTCTGAGTTCATATTGAAAGCTTAAATTGAGGTCTTTTGCTAGATGTTTTATGTTTCTCAGCAGTTTAGGAGTATGGACAGGCGTAGAGAAAGACGTTTGCTTGCCCTGTCTGCCTAGAAATTGAATGTTAATAGCTTGTTAAACTTGAGGCAGGCTAAACCTACTTCTGTTTTCTTAATGGGCTATTTTTGCTCTTAAGTTTCTCCAATCAACAGCAGAAGCTTAGACTTTCCATGGTAAAATTTTCAAGGGTTCGCAGTGAGCTGGGGTGCTCAGTGCTAGATTTTTTGATAAAGCAAATAAATCATTTGATTTTTATTTTAAACAGCTAACAGCTCTTCTTAAAATTCATTTCACTGGCACCCCTACTTGGTCTTGAATTATAAGATGTTCTATTTGCAGTTTGGGCATTGGAATAGAGTCTTTCAGTTTTGCTTTATTAGTCCTCTAGTGAGATGCCCTCCCTGCCCTTGAGAAACTCTAATTTAAACAGTGGTAACTTGGGGCAAATAAACACATTTGGCAGCTCTCCTGATTCCTTGGCTTTTTGCATATTCTGCAGAGGTACATTATAGCAATACACTTTATATGTTTGGAAAAATCAAGCTAAATTTTAAGCTCCTCCCATCCCATCCCCTCTGTCCAAGCTCCTGTTCAAAGTTGGCATCAAATCAAGTCCAGGGCTGCTGGATTTGGCCCAAGTAATGCAATGAGTGCTGTTTTCTGTTTTATTTAATTAACTTCCATTGCATAAGAATGCTTTGCAGAGCTATATATGAATCTTGAGATAAAGATGTTACTCTTTAAAAATATTGTTAGTATTGCAGGCCTGTGAGCTGCGTTATTTTGGGCTCCTAGCTCATGAATTTGGTTAACGTGACAATGGGAAACTTCTGCATGATGTTTGCACTGAGTCTAGCATGGCATTAGGGCGCTAGCTTAGCTGTGGCTTAAATATAATCAATTCTATTGGGTTACAGAGGGCTCTGTAGTTGGGTTACTGTGGTCCCTCCCAACCCTGTTTTTTGACCATTTATTATTAAGAACTATTAATAATGCCATCTTTTGGATTCAAGGTAAATTGGTGGCCCCCGTGCCTTTGCTGTATGCTGATCCTAGGCCATAATTAGTGAACGCCTTTTTAGCCACCATAAGCCAAGACTGGTACTGAAAGAAACCTGTCCAAGACCTTCGGATCTCCTCCTTGCTTCTTGCTTTCACAAATGTTTTTCACAAACAATGCTTTTTTTCTTCAGCAGTGTGGTGAATGAGCGCAAGGACTTGGTCTGTACAGAGGCAGCATGGCCTTTTTTGGTGTTTGCTTAAGCTGGCTAAAACCCAAACTGCCTTCACAGTCATAGTTGGAGGCAAAAAGGTACCTTGTTTTCAGACCTGCAAGCATCTATAAAGTTGCTCTGTGAATGTAAACAATCTCCAAATATCTGCGTTTCTGAACAATTAAGTGTAAAATTTTTAGGAATGCTTTGGGAATCCTTTTGGCTAGATGCCGTTTGCTAATTATATAATAAATACATTATAACCATCATCAAGTCTGGAAGGTGTAAAGGTTGTACCTTTTAAAGCTTCTAAGGTGTGTGGTCATCATTGTAAGGAGTATGGTTAACTTGAAGAAAAAAAAAAAAAAGAAGACATGGCAAGCTTGGATCTTAATCTGGAAGCCCCCATAAAAATGGATGTAGAATTCTGCCTGCTCTATGGACAGTAAGATACAAATTGAGACACAAAACTCAACACCCTGAAAATCCCATTTCCTTTTTAATTCAGACTTTTCTTGTCTACTTTTATTTCCTTTCCTTGAGGAAAAATATAATGAAGAACCATTTTTGCATAAAGAAATTGTTATATGGCCTAGAGACAATGTGCAATGCTCTTTAAGGTTTAATATTTTACTTTAAGGTTGATTAATCACACAAAGAAGCTAATGGAGAAAGAAGAGAAGCTCTGCATTAAAATTCTTCAGACATTACGAGAAATGCTTGACAAGAAAACTAACTTTGCGGAAGAGGTACTACTACCATTTTAGTATTAAATATAGAACTAAAAGCATGGTATTAAAAGGTTGGTTCTAGGATAGCAACAGAATCTGGCATGACTTCAGTTTCTTAACGTGTGTTAAAGATAAAACGGTATTTCAGAAACAGCGTGGTAAGGCAGAAAATAAGATTTAAACAAAAGAAACTGTCTGCCTCACATAGGTAGTCTTGTATCAGGGACTTTTACCAGAGTCGAGGCAAGGAAGGCTAAATGAATTAGTAATAACAAGTATTATTACTTATTATTATATAATTATATATATAATTATATAGTTACTTATTATTATATATTATTATATTTTGGATGTCCTGTATTTCTGGAAAGCAGTCCTTTTATGTCACATCTGACTTTTTATATCATATAATCAATCAGAAGCTTAAGATTTTTAGTTGCAGATGTACAGTTTTTCCCTGTTGCCAGTGGTGCCAGACTTTTGTACTCCATAAACATTTTAATGATGATAAATGTGTGACAGGACTATGAAATGTTTAAACAGAGTTGACAGTTTGGGGAGAAGTGACATAGTCTCTGTCTTCTGTGAAGTGTCTAATTTCTTCCTGTATCTAGTAACATTCTTCCCCCCACCACTCTTTATACCCTCTTTTCTCTCACAAAACCAAGCGTTTCAAATATCTGTTTCATCTTGCCTGCACCTTTAGTCTTGGTAACTAGACTCAGATTTACATGTCAGCTGTCCATTCCTAGAATTTTAGCCTGATCCCTGTGCCTTTTGTCTGGTTTCCTCTTATCGGTGTTTCTGAGTACAGGCAAAATTCTCTCAGTATTATTCACTCTTAAATATGAATCATAGCGCAATTATCTAATCTTTCACTGCTATCATTTTCATTTGTTACCAGCTGACATGTTTAGTCAAATACGTTCATGGGGATCATTTTGCTTGAGAAAAAAATGTTGATCGGAACCCAGCGTCACACCATTTCACTGTCTTAGGCTTTTACACCCAAATATTTTCACATGTCTAAGTAGCAGTGCTCATTCATTTTACTGTACCTGGCAAAATTATCCACCATTCAGGTATATTAGTTATGAGATTCCATCCTAACCCTGGGAAAAAAAAAAGTCTTAGGGGATATTAAGATGCCCATGCATATTTTGGGGTCTTTGAGGCTTTACTTGTAAAGTTAAATATTTTGGTCCTGTCAAATGATGTGATAAGATAGTAACACACTCTTTTCTCTTTTACGATAGATGAGCCATATATTAGAAATGTGAAATATTCACAGCGTCTTTATTTTGACTGTATGCTGTTTGTTTTGATTTCAACATATGGACATGGGAACATTTTGCCCAGGCTTTTAAGCAACCTGCTAGACAGGATAAAAAAATCTCAGTGCAGAACAGTGAAGTAAAGACAAAGGCAGCAATAGCAAAACATCAGCCTTGCTCTGCACAAAAACAACCAATGCATGCAGAGCAAAGCATCCTCTTCGCTGCCTGTAAAGAATTTAGCTCAAAGAAAAATGTGGTCAGGCCTGGGCAGACAGAGGTGTTTTTTATGTCGTGCCAGGAGTTTCACAGGTGAAGCAGATGATATTATTATTTATTATTATTCATACTTATTCTAATAGCTTTCTGGGCCCATAATCCCACTGCATGACACGGAAAAACTAGCTTCCTTTTGTAACAGCATGCTGTGAGGAACCATGCCAAACTTCTCCATAATAACTGCATAGACCCACCAAAAGGTAAAATCACCTCAGGACTGCAGGGAAGATAAAGCAATGCCTTAAAAAGAAAAGAAAGAAAGAAAGAAAGAAGGAAAACAAAAGTGCTCACCTATTTTAATTTCTGTTTTTGTACCCTGTTGCGGAGGCTGGTAAACCAAGACTGAGCCAAGCCAGCAGAGGGAGTGTGCTCCACTGGTATGTGTGGGCTCTTCACCCAGTCTCCAGTGCTCAGGAATGGCCATTTAGAGGTGTCTCCTTAAACCCCTTGCATGACCCGTGCCACCTAGGTAGCAGCCAGGGCATGGGTGAGTGGAAGAAGGAACAAGAATTTCTCCCTCGTGACTTCCCGTGGATCCCGTGTGAAGAACGTAATGAATTGATGCAAACAAATACATAAGTAAACAAGCTTGTGTGGTTTGCAAGCGCCTCTCCTGCTTGCTACTTTTATGAGTCATTGCTCATGATATGGACCCAAGAATAGTAAAAATAGCACAGTGAGTAGCCCATTGTGCGTTTCCAACTTTTTTTGAACTGATATCACCACCTGCAATTTTATTCAACTGTGTTATTCAGATACTAAAAAATTAAAGAAGTAAATACATAATGGTAATCCTAGAATGATGCTGCAGAGGGATGCATGACGCTTTGACAGAAAGCGTGAATTTTTTAATCATCCATCATAAAGTATCTTGTGATAAATTTGACAGAAATGGTAAACTTTCAGTTTCTGCGGACCTTCCCATAGTGAGAAGCAAAGAAGAAATCATGAAATAAAATTTCTCCTGTGCTCTTTCTCTTCACTTTACCTCCCACGGCTAAGATGCAGGTCTGGGAACCTTGCCTTCTACTGCAGTGTCTATCTTTCATTTGACCACTGGGAGGTTGCCTGCACTGTTGACGGGACAGGCAGAACAGATAGCATTAGGCACATATTTCACTGCTTTTTATGCCTGTTCTCATTCTGTCCCATGTCCATTGCCTCAGGTGAACTCCAGTGTTGCAGCTCATCTGGCTGGTGCATTTCGGGGCTGCGCAGCTCACGCTCTTCTGGCTCCATCCTCAATTGCCCTTGCAGCTTCCCTTTGAGGGAACGCTGGCTTACGCATTGCTTTGCTTAGTGTTGCAACATCTAATTGTGTTAGGAATCAAAGTTTAATTTCAAGAGTTTGATTTAAGGTATATAAATGGCATATAAAGCCTCTTGGTCATTGATTAGCTTTCATAAGTAATTGCGGGTGATTATTACGAACTCCCTGGAGTTCAGTGTTAAGTCCTAGTCCTGTTTGCATTGATTAGGTAACTAACTGGAATGAAACTTGATCTACAGCGCCTCTCTTACAGAAAGCTCTTCCAGAACAGTGTTAAAACATTTGGGTAAATCAATGCATGAAGGAAGTTTACATTACTTCTGCCCGGACAGTTACTATGGTATGGATACTCCAGGTTGACTCTTTAAGGGAAGAAACAGGAGAGACTGAAATGACTGTTTGGACTAGATGTGTCCTATCTAAGCTTTTGTCCTTTGCTGCTGGTAGGTAGTCTGTTTTTACACCTGTTTTACAAGAGCAGAGTGATCTTGGTCCAGAATTTTTAAAGTTTTTATGCAAGCCTCTGTTTTGTCTGTCACCATGGTACTTGATTTCAGTTTAATTTCTGTGTGGATTCTGACTCTAGACCTACCTGCATATCTTCGCTTGAATCTGGATAATGTTTCCAGAGCACCTGAGAGATGCAGGCTGTTAATACATGTTCACTTTGCAAATGACTGGAGCAGTTTAAAATATTACCGTTACCTTGCGGCCCTGCTGAAAGCAACTGCCCCCAGAACAGAGCTGGTGGGCCAGAAGGGGCGAGCGCTCGCAACTGCTTCAGAGGGAGTCCAGGAAGCTTAACTTAAACCCACCCTCAGTGGTTTGAATGAAATTATTGAGTTGAAGTGTGCTCATATGTTAGCCCACTCCAGTTGCTGGTACGTCAATGCCTCGGGCACATACAACCCTGATTCCCTGGTTGTTCTTAAATGAGGTGAATGTCTGAACAGAGTTACTATCTCTCAAAATGTCTATGCATGACATGTAACGTTATTGGCTGGTCAATGGATGATAGTGCATTACAGAATATAGTAGAATTCAAGCCTGTATATCCTGCCAACTAGTTGTTCCTAAGTGAAACACTAGTATAGATAGGCTAAACGCTTGAGTAAGGGTTACTTGTGCCACAGAATGCAGATGTGTTACTTTTTCCTGCTTTAGGTGTTGAACTACAGTATAAATAATTGAAAACATAGAGGATTTTTAAAGTGTCAGTAGAGTAAAGAACCTGCAAGCTGCTTATTTGTCAGAAATGAATAGTTATGCCTTTTGCCTTTTCTGGGAAAAACTCCTGAAAAAAAAAACTGTCCTGCTCTTCATGCATTTGCACTTGCTCCATGGTTTAAAAACATATAAGAAGCTTTGTAGCCTTCTGTTGTGCAGTGTTAATGTTTCTGTATTCCACTTTAGTTACGAAATGTAAACTATGTCTCCTCTTTGTTTTCAGCAACAGCAGCAAATATACATGTGAAAAAATAGTACAGGTTCTTTTTAAATATAAGTGCACTTAATTCCCCTAAACTGTAGTCCCTGATATGGCCACTGTCAGCGATTGGTTATTTTGTGCCTGAAGGCCTGAGCCTCTTCATTTTGAGCCAATGACAAATCTCCGGTGAGTTTATCAGAAGCAGTTGTCCCAGCTCTGCTTCGTGAATGTATTGTGCTACCATCCAGGTTGAAAGCAGTGGGAGATGTAGGTCTTTTTCTTCTGGAAAAAATGGTCTCAAGTGTGTCTTAAAAGCTGGGAGATGTTGCTGGGAGCCACTGCAGTGTCCTAGTGTTGCAGTTCTTTGAATCAAAGACATTCTTAACTGAAATTGCATTCTATTCTCTAACCTCATCTTTTCAAGATGATTTTGGTTATTTGCATGTGTGAATTAGGCAGCATTCAGATACGTAACATATGTAGGTAAAAAGAAATGGGGGGAAAAAGAGAATAATTCTGAATATGTGGGGGTTTGCTGAATGCATTGTAACTTAAAGGAACACATTTTAAATGTGAGAAAGAACAGGTTGTAAAATTCCTTTATTTGTGTTACTCTTCACAGCTTGGATTAGTGGCAGTGCGGCCATTCTGAAGAATTACATTTAATTTTTCATCATTTTTGCTGTCTGCTTTATTTGTGCTCGTTTTTAAAAATGACTCTGTGCTAGCTTGATTTTTCCTGTTGTCGATAAGCCATTCTTCTCAC